CGTCCACGGGTACTGCAGGAGGCTGAACGGACTGAGCAAACGAGAGGCGGGGATGAGTGCAAGGATCGCAGGTGGAGGCCTCACCACAAGCCAGCTTTCTCCCAGTCTTGTCTGCACCGCTCAGGGATCAAAGGTAGCAGGAGTTCCCCGGTGCTGCAGGCTGGTGGCAAAGCTCTCTGGGAGACAGACCACGCGAGGCTCAAGAATCTGTAACAGAGAGCCCCCCATCTTCGCTGAGGAATGGGCTGGATCAACCCCCCAACAGCCCTTTCCAGCTCATGGTGAAACTCACGGGCCACAGGAAGGTTAAGGCAAGATCACCCATCTGTGGCCCCAGCCTTTCCCTCAGGGACAGTGCAGGCTAATGGAGCCTGCTGGGGGTCCAGATGCCCAGCCCTACTCCATGGCCCTCAAACCACACCCACCCACCCCCCACCTGTCACTCCAAGCTGCGGCCTGAGAGATGGGAAGACAGCAGCACTCGTTCCCCAATTCTCTAAATCTTCTTCCTCCTCACTCAGTCAGACAGCCTTGGCCAGGGTCAGAGTTCCACAGCAAACATCCCAGTATCTTCCCCCAGGAACATCGAGGTCCCCGGCACAGGCCACGGCCGGGCTCTCCCAGCACTGAGCTGAAGGGACAGCAGAGGCAGGAAGTTGGATAAAGAAAGCCTTCCCCTACCCCCTCGGTCCGCACCCCCCCCCCGACTCCAGCAGACACATGACGCTGGGGACACCACCCTTCCCTCTACCAGATCTCTCTACACCCCTACCACCACCCAGACTTGAATCCAAACGCCAATCCAAAGTCATCACCCTCACCTCTGGTCCCTCTCCTCCGTCCCCTTGGAGTGTCTTCCATAGATACATACTCCAGCTGACCGTGTGAGCCCACCCCCACCCTCAGGTTCAGGCCAAAGGAAAGCTGAGCCCTGCTAGCTGGAGAACAGCTACCAGCAGCTGGAAGGCTGTACCTAGCAATAAAAGGCAATCTAACAAGGCCGCTGGGGAAGAAGGGTCAAGAGGGAGGCAGTAACATGGGGGCTTGGGGTTCCAGTCCCAGATTCCATAGGCCAAATAGGGGTGGGTATGTGACGGTTCATTCTTTCACAGAGAGAGGTCATATTTTGCATCAGCATCTCCAAGAGTGGCGGGAAATCAAGGACAGAGCAAGAGAAATGACCCAAGGAGGAGCCTTCTCGCTCAGGGACGCCCCCACCCCCTGAGCTCAGAATCAGGAGCCTCAGGCTTCGTTCTGCTCTGTCACTCACTGGAGCATGTCACTTTCTTCTCTCTGAGTGCCCCCATTTGCAAAATGAAGGGTTCACAGTGGATATGGAAATTCCTCTATGCCGGCTGGGGCAGGAGAGAAGAGCACAGGGTGGGGAAAGGGTCGAAAAACAGCAAAATGTTATCAGGCAAGGGGGCAAAGGCACCTGGATACAATAAAAAGAGGGCATTCTCACCCCTCGTCCGGCACGCCGCCAAGGGAGGTGGCCCGGGGCCCCAGGTCTGGCCCCCTGCCCTGATGCCAGAAGCAGTCACACGGCTCACGCCCCTCACCGCCCTGGCCAGCCGTCTCTCCAAGGGTGCGGCAGCGGCGTCCGTGAGGTGAGAAGTTCACAGATCAGCAAGGCCAGCGTGGTACAACTGCCCGGGATTAGTGCTAAATCCTGGGCTGCTCTGTGCAGGGATCACACGTCGTCAGCTTCGCAGCTGCTCAGCCGCACCCCGCCCACGCTGTCACCTTCCGCTCCCCAGCCTCCCCTCACAGCACTGACTCCCTTCTCAGAGAGAAGCTGGGACCCTGCCTCTGCCCTTGGCAAGCAACAGGTCAGAGGCACCCCCAAAGAAGAGCCCCACAGAAACTTCCCAGAAGCCCACAGGTACAACACTGAGCAGAGAGAGACAGTGAAGGCTTCCCTGCCTAACCCCTGTGGCTCCCCCCAAGGTAGCCTTGGCCTGGAATTACCTTGTCTTTAGGCCACCCAGGCCCTTCCCTCCAGATGGTTCTTGTCCTTGGAGAGTCAGAGACAGGAGAGCCAGATGGAGCCCCCACAGCTGGGAATCCTCAGTCCCGGCTTCCTACAGCAATGTGCTCATGAGTCTCCCCAGCTGTCAGGAACCTTGCCATCCACCACCTTCCCCACACATACCGCAAAGCTCAGTGCTCCGGGCCACACCTGCCCACCCCCCCCACACACACACACACCAGAACAGGGTCTGGGGGAGGGGGGACACCGCCACACCTCCCCATCCCCCAGAGTCATCCAGGCCCCTGCCTCTGCTATAAAACAGGACCCACACTCCCATCTCTGCCTCCAAAGGGAGGCCACAGTGAGGAATCTTACTCAGATCCCTGTCTAGGGACAAGGCTTCAGGAAGGAGAGGCGGAGGAAGCAGAAGCCAAAGGCCCGGGTTGTCGAAGTTTCTGTGGCAGTGTCTCCTTTAGCCTCCCAGAGGCATGGGCGTGCTGGGCCACGGCTGAGCTGGGCCTTAGCTCCGGGTGGGGCTGGGGCAAAGCGGGAGTTGGGTACGGGCAGGGAGGGGCTCCAAAGCACACTGCGGCCCCCTCCAGAAGCCCTCCTCTGATCCGCCCTGCCTCCCCCTCACAGAGGACACGGGTGGGGCAGCCGCAGGGCCCACCTGGTGGACGGGCAGGGCGAACCCGAATCGCTGAAGAGCTGCCCCCCGCTCTCACCTGCGCGGGTGCCAGCCTCGGCGGAGGACGCGGCACCCCCGCTCCGCAGCAGCCGTCGGGTGCCGAGTCCCGGGCCGCCTGGAGGCCGCGACTCTCGAGCGCACGGGCGCCTAGGAGTCGTCCTCGCCTCCGCTGGCGCCGCCGGGCTCGGCCTCGCGGGACGCGCGCCGCTCGCTGACCAGCATCGCCGTGAGGCCCTGGGCGCGGAGGAGGAGGCCGCCGCCCAGGAACAGGACCCCGCAGAGCACCAGCAGCGACAGCACGCCCAGCACCGCCGCCTGCACGACGCGCGGCCCCTCTGGGGGCTCCGACGGCGGCACCCCCGACTGGTTGCAGCAGGAGCTCAGCCAGGTGGCCGGGGCCCCAGCGCCCGCCCGGGAGCCGTTCATGCTACGGCCCGGCTGGCTGCCCAGATGTGCGCGGGAGGACCAGATGTGCGGGACCCCCAGCGGGCGGGCCTCGGCTGCATAGGGGAGGGGCCCGCGGGGCGGATCCCAGGCGCTGTTGGCTCCCACCCTGCGCGCAGAGCTCGTCCAGCTGGGACTATAGCCCAGACTCCCGGGGCTGGAGTATTTCTTCTTGTCCCAAAGGCCTCCACACCCACGCGTGGGAACCCAGCCCCTGCACCCAACCAGCCAAAGCCAGAGTCCGGTGCCCAAGGCTTTCCCTCTCCCGTGGCAAAGGAAGTCAAGAGACAGCACCTCCCTCAGAACTGAAAAAATCTTCCGGACCCCACCGCAGGTGCTGGTGGGGGGTGCTGCCCCACTAAAAAGGACACAAGACAAGCAAGCATTCCCCGGCTGTCCCTGAGCCAAAGCTCAATACTGCCAGGTGGCCCAGGTGGCCACTGGAACAGGAGGCAAACGAGCAGCCTGCGGGACCTGAGGGGCGCGGATCCTTACTCCTCCCATCGTCCCTTCTGGGAGCCTCTTGGAGTTGGACAAGCAGGCCAGTGCCTCCTTGGGCCCACAGCAAGGAGAGCCAGAGGGCAGGGGAACTTCAAGTCCTATCCCCATTCCTCTGCTCAGGCCCCAGAGGTCAAGTTACCTACTGATGAGAAAGCAGATTTGAGTCACCAGGGCTCCTGTTCCGGCCTTGAGTAAATCAGTCCCCTACCTCTGGGAAATCATAATGCCAAAAGGAATGGAAAGGTTACTGTCCTGTCCACCAAGGGGAGCTCACTGCCTGCGGGGTGTCCCACAGCCAACCTGGGGTCGGGGTAGAGCAGAGTCTGGCTGCAGTAAAGTAGAAAGTCTCAAAAAGCTGGGATAGAGGGAAGACCCTCCTGCTCAGGTCTCCTGAAAGACAGCAACCTGGAGCTCTCTTTTTAAAAACTAAGTCACGGCCAACAAACAACTAACTCTATCAGCCAACCAACCACTCAGAAGGGGGATTAGCTGATGGCTAGCTAGGAGGAAAAGAAGATCCCCAGACTGCAGCAGGCCAGGTAGGGATTACACACCATCGAGGACCTGCTAGAAACGGCCTTCCCCAACTCCAAAGCCTTAAGAACCTCCTGAGTTCTCCCAATGCCCCAGAGATCAAGGGCAAGACTTCACAAGATCTGTTGTGAAGTATCACAGGGCCACGGTGGCTTGGAATGGGAAAAATATGTGAACACTTCCTGCCTACGCGGGCTACCTACCTGCCCCAGGACCACGGGCAAAAACCCCTCCCCACCCCACCTCCGCTCCATTTAGCCTGGTACAACTGCCCACATACAACCAAAAAGTATAAAGTATAGAATAAATCAGAAGTACACAAGGAGTTCACGGATTTTGAGTATGCTGGTGTAGAAATGAGTGTGTTAACAAAGCAGTGCCCTGACAAGAGAGGGCCAGCCTGACCTGGAAGAAGTGTCATCAGACACCTGTCTCAAGTTGGCCAGTCTCTCCAGAGAAGGAAACCCCCAGTTAAATGAGCTTTCTGGTGCACGCGGGGACCTGTATGTGCTCTATGAAGACACGGAAGATATTCTTTGAGGCCATCGTGAAACCAGACCAGATAATATAAAAGGCAGGGATATCACAGCTTCCTTAGGGAGAAGAAACAGCAATCATATCCAAAAGCAAAAGTTCCTGATCTGTGTCGTCTTTCATAGGCTGACCACAGTGACACCTGGGTGGTTAACACCTGCTTATGTGAATGTCCAACAGAGTACCGAATTGGTCAGTTTTAATCTATCCCCTCCCCCCATTCCCTTCATGTTGGAATAATGCCCTTAACACACACCTGCATCCTCAGAGGTCTGCCAGGGAGTGTTAATGTTTCAGGGCAGAACACAAGCTACCGGAGATGGCTCAACCCAAATGCATTCTCAACTTTATTCACCATCCTAGCGATGGCTCTTCCATACAGTGGAGGAAGGGGGACCCCCAGAGGGATGCAGAGAGACAGTGAAGGCCAGACTTGACCATTAGCAAAGGTTAAAGAGATGACCAAAGACTGGCAGCCACAAAACAAGGAAGCCAGGGGTGGCCATTCCAAGTCTCATCAAGGACCTGGAGCAGGTTCCAGAGCCCCAAGGGCCCCACAGTACGATCCCCGGAAGCCAAGGTCTACAAGCCATCCAGGAGAACCCGTGGCCCCAGTTAAGGCCTACAGGGCAAGGGTGTCTTTGATAAGCCTGCGCATGGTGGTGGTGACCGAGGTGCCCAGGGCATCAGTGATCTGGAAGGAAATCTTGTAGAGGTAGGGCTGCACATCCCGCAAGCCTGTGTCAAACACATTGTCCACCTCCGACTGCGTGGGCATCTTGGGCAGGTACTCGTGCCGGTTCATCACCTCCACAATGTTGATGACCTTCTCACAGAGCTTCTCGCCCACCTTCTCCCGGCAGATCTGCCGCTCCTGCTCTGTGGCCAGGGCAACCACGTGCACTTTCACCGTCCACACTTCCCAGGGGATGCACTCGTCCGAGAAAGGCCAGCGAGACTTCTTCTTCTGGTAGAACTCCAGGGATATCTGCCCCAGCCCATCACCCCCAGAGTTGCGCAGCGCATCCTGGGGAAGGAGGGGTAACAGATGAGCAGCCAAGACCTTGGAGGGGCTCTCGCCCTGTGAGCGCCTCCTTCCTACACCCCCGGGTAAAAATTAGGCTCTCTGAGCTTTACTAGTCGTTCAGGGAGGGCAGGGAATGAGACACACAGAGGGCGAAGGATTCGTGTGCAGTGACACAGTAAACTGCCAGCCTAAACTTGAGTTAGCAAACCAACAAAATCTGTCTCTAAAGAAAAGCTCTAAGAGGGGATTAAAGCCCAATGATCCTTAATTAGAAAAAAGGAAACCAAAAGGGGCCATCTGGGTGGCTCAGTCGGTTAAGCATATGCCTTTGGGACTGAGCCAAAGGGGGGGATGTGCAAAGGGGGGGTGCGGGGGTGGTACCTGCTCAGGGGGGAGTCAGCTTCTCCCTCTGCCCCTCCCCCACTTCTCTTTCTCTCACAAATAAATAAAATCTTAAAAAAAGAAAAAAAGGAAACCAAGAAACAGAAGGGGGGAGGGAAGGACAGACCAGACCTGGCTTCTCCCTCTTCTCCTCTGAGAACCAAATGAGACCATCTCATCCAATAGTTCTGCCTATCCCCTACCTCCAGGGGGTGTGGTGGCCCTACTCCTCCCTCCTAGGGCGGCTGGGACCCTGAAGCCCCTTTCCATCCGCGTTAAGACCAACTCCGAGGGTAAGGATGCTTCCCTCAAGTCCTAAACCGTCCGTCAAGGAATAATTCTCCCCTTTGTGGACAAAGAAAGGTCACTACCCTGACTGGTAGTCATAATGGCTAACACTTCTCTAACGCTTCCTGTGGTGCGGGGCTGGTTCAAGCACTTGCCATATTTGACTCATTTAATCCTCAGAGTACCTATACCTATGAGGCAGGTACGATTATCATTCCAATTTTACATACAGAGAAACTGAGGGCCAGGGAGGTGGAGTCACTTGCCCAAGGTCACACACTTGTTGGGTGGTAGAGCCTGGCTCCAGAATCCATGCTTTTTTTTTTTTTTTTTAAAGATTTTATTTATTTATTTTACAGGGAGAGACACAGCGAGAGAGGGAACACAAGTAGGGGGAGTGGGAGAGGGAGAAGCAGGCTTCTCGCGGAGCAGGGAGCCCGATGTGGGGCTCGATCCCAGGACTCTGGGATCATGACCTGAGCTGAAGGCAGACGCTTAACGACTGAGCCACCCAGGCGCCCCGAGAGTCCATGCTCTTAACCATTATATGCCACGTGCCTCTTACAGGTGTCTAGAGGACAGACGGCTGACTACCATAGCCTCCCTCGAAGAGGGACTGGGGAGCGGGAGTGGGGGAACGCTGTGCCTGGGGGGGAGGGTCCACCTCCTGCCGTGAGCACATGGCGCCCAGCACCATGCAGGCACTCTCCAAACATCTGTGGAATGGAAGTCAGACAGACAAGCCTCCTCCTCTCCCCTCCTTAAAAAGAGTTCCTTCTTACTCGAAAATTCAAAATAGGCACTCACTGAAATAGTGAAACACCGCAACTCTGAATGAAAACAAATTCCCACTGCCTGCGGTGACCAACACGAGCAGCCCGCTATGTCGCTGCCACCTTCCTCCCCGCCCCCACAGGTACACAGAAACACGTGCCACGCTGCCCAAAGGGACGCCCCGCTGGACGGCAAGCACCTGAGCCCTGCAAGCCTCCCTCTCCGGGAATTTCCCAGGGGAAAGGAACTTCCTGAAGGGGAAAGTGGAAGCAGAGAGAAGGAGTCAGGAGGGAGGGAGAGCTGAAGAGTCAGACAGAAGGTCCAGCCCAGGGGGTGGGCAATAAGCACCCAAGGGAACCCAATGCTGATGTCCATGCCGCAAGGGCTGCCTGCTCTCCTTCCCTGGGTATTTTTACCAGCCCCTGCCCCTGCCCAAAGCCCTCCTCCCTGCAAGGAGTGCTGAACATGCCTGTTCCTTAGACCATGGAAGAACCTGACAGAACACTCAGGAAGGGTAAGCTGGTCCAAGGGCAAGCCAGGGTGGAGGGGCACTCGAGGCCCACCTGCCGCCCGCTGCACCACACCCCTACCTTGAATTCCCCGACAACTTTGCGCAGGGCACGGTCCAGCTCCTCAGAGGAGACCCGCACGTAGGTGAAGTCGATGAAGTCACAGTCCACGTCCTGGGTGCCCACGGTGCCAATGGAGTAGGTGCCCTCCTTCTTGTAGTGGAACTTGCCCGTGCTACGATGCAGGAGCACCGTGTGCAGCACAGCCAGCATGGCCTCCTCCACCTGCCGCCCCTCCACCGACACCTCCAGCACCTCCGAGCGACAGTTCATCCTGCAGCCAGGAGCCCACACCCGGGGGCGGGGCAAGAATAAACACGGGGGAGCTTCACCCCAGCCAGGGGCCACCCTGCAAGAGCAGCCAGGTCAGCGAGCTGACACCTTCTGAATGATCTGCATGTTACCTGTCCACTTCCCTCCTGGCCCGGCCAGCCTCTGCCTCCGTGGCCCTTCTCTGCATTTCAACAGCACTACTACCAGGAAGACTCTCGGGATCAGAAAGGGAGAGCTTCAAAGTTACCAGCCCAGCCAACCAGCCAGGGCTTGACCTCAGGACAGCGTCCAGTGCAGTGTCCCGCAAAGGCTCGCTGCGTGGCACCTGTCAGGCACCGGCCGCTCAAGGCGAGCACGGCCCCTGCTCCTGAAGGGCCTTGGGACTGCAGGAGAGAAAGGCAGGTGAATGCTACCAGACTGGCCAGGGTACAAGGCGGGAGTAAAAAGAAAAGGAAGATGGGAGTCTGGCTGCCTGGGACCCTGAATGACCAGGTTAAGGCATTTGGACGCTGTGCTGAGAGCAGTGAAGAGTCAATGCATCACTGTGCCAAGATCAGATCTGTGCAGCAGAAAGCTAACCGGATAAAAGGCAAAGGATCGCTCTTCACTATTTTGTGGCCAGAAATTGCTCTGAGAAATCAATAAAAACTCTGAGGACTGAGGGGCGCCTGGGGGGCTCAGTCGGTTGAGCGTCTGCCTTCGGCTCAGGGCATGATCTCAGGGTCCTGGGATGGAGCCCCTCGGCAGGCTCTCTTCTCCCTCTCCCTCTGTTCCTCTCCACTGCTCGTGGTCTCTCTCTCTCAAATAAATAATCTTAAAAAAAAAAATGAAGACTGGGCTTTGACACCTGACTGACACATGCACACACCCCCAATCTCACCTAGTGCCAAGGCCATCCACAGACTCCAGGGTAAAAACTCAGATTTAAGGCAGAACGGCTGGGCAAGAAATCCAGTTAGAGGCCCCGACAGTAGAGACAGTTACAGGGGCAGCGCAATGGGATGTGAGAGAGTGAAGTGCAAAGTGTGGATGGTTCGACCCACATCCAACAGTCCTGGGTCGAACCCCAGCTCTCCTATACCTTGCTCTGTGACCAAGCAAATCACTGTGTTTTATCCGTAAATTTGGATTCTTGTGAGGATCAAATAAAATCGCCTACGTAAAACACAGCAGAATAGTGGTTAAAAACAGCAACTCTAAAGCCAGACAGCATGGGTTGGGAACCCAGCTCTGCCACTTGCTCACGGTGTGACCTTGGACAAGCTACTTAACTCCTATGTGCCTCAGTTTCCCGAATCTATATAAAGGGGATCTATAAAAGCTACCCTGAAAGGAATGTCCCAGGGAGTGGATGAGTTAGCACCTGTAAAGCACTTAAAGCAGTACCTGGCCAGTTGTAAATAGTTAAGTATCAGCCATAATTCATTATGATATCATTGTTGCCAAGAGAGAACACAAGCTATGATACAGCACTGGTGGACCGAGTGGGAAGGCAAGAACAGACTTGTGATCCAGACCTTGGTAAGTATCTGAATATGAGCCCCAAAGGAGAAGGCATAGTCACATTTCTTGCTGAGCGTTCAGCTTACAAACCTGCCCTGACGGAAAACTCACCACCTCTCACAGACCTTTCCATCTTTAGACAGCTCTACTCAGGTATTCCTTCTACAGAGGGAATCTGCCCCTCAGTGCTTCAAACCCCTGGCCACAGTTTGGATATCAGGAGCCACACAGAGTAAGTCTCACCCCTTTTCCACTAATGTGCCTTTCTGATATCTGGACACAACTCTTCCGTCACCCCTCACCCCTACCACGGGTTAAAGGTCCCCAGTCCCCATACCCTGTGCCAGCTGGACATCACATCTTATCTGGCAGCTCTCCTCTAAGTGTATTTCAGTTTGTCTCATCCCCATTAAAGAGCAGTGCTCAGCAGTGAACACGAGGCAGCCTGTGGACAGCTCGGAGATCACGCTGGCTCGGCCTCTCGCTCGGCTACCAGCGCGGGTCTACCTGTCCTAGCAGCCATCTCTTCACGGGTGTTACCCTGTCTTAGCTCTCCCACTAGACAGACAGTTCCTTGAGGGCAGGGACTGGACCCTACTCACCACTGGAAACTCGGTGCCTGGAACCTAGTACAAAGTAACTGCTCAAATCACCCTGACCGGGAGCCTCCAGGTCCTTCCAAGGGTTGCTGGAGTGGTTTCTCCTACACTCAGGAGGAGTCGGGCTCTCCCACTCGTTTCTGCCCTCTAGTATTTTCCCTTCAACAGCCTCCCATCTAGAGGCTCCCAGGTCTGGCCCAGCTCCCCCTTCTTCCACCACTTCCCCCTCTGGGGTCCCCCACAAACGTTCACCCAGGCCACTTCTTTCTTTTGCCCCACGCCCGCCCAGGCTCTTCCCTCATTATTGAACAGTTCTAGGCAACACTCCTCCAAGAATTCGGTACTGACCAACCCCAGCCTCCTTCCCACAGCAAGCCACCTCTGGTCCGTGATGAGCTTGTCTGTCCCCTTGCCCTTGCCCTCACCCCCGCCTCCGGTGAGGAAGGAGTCTTCTCGAGCATGGCCTGGGAAGTCTCTCATCCCTCCTTTACCCCCAAGGCCCAGATCTGCAGAGCACAGAGCCAGGTTGGAGCCCAGGGCATCCCCATGCCCACTTACGCGTACAGGCTTGAGCGCGGGTGCCTCAGGCTCGGACCATGCCCTTGCTCCTCCTCACGCGCAGGTGCCCCCTCCGCAGGTGCGCCTCGACGTCCACGCTGGCGACTGAGCGCAAGAGAGCCTAAAAGCAAAAACAGAAGGTTCAGCGTCAAGACACTCTGGCGGGCCCAGGAAGGACCTTCCGCCCGGGTCCCGTGTCTCTCACCGCCACCACCCGCGACCTGCCGAAGTCCAGGGTCCAGGGGAGGAGCTGCCTCCTGAGGTCCCGGGAGGTGCGGGTGGGGGGCCTCCCCGCCTCCAGCCTGGCCGCGCTCGGGAGTTCGAGGCGCGCCGTCCCTCCCGCCGGCCCGGGGAGTGCCCGCGCTTGCACAAGGAGAGGGGGCAGACGGTTGGGTGGAACGCTCCCCCACCTCCCCGAGCCCGCGTCCCAGACCCGACGGCCGCGCAACCGCGCTCCAGCCGGCGCCCAACCACCGCGACAGGAGGCGGTGCCGGCGGCGGAAGTCCGGGCCTCCGCCCCCGCCAGCCGGGCGGGTTCCACCGGCTCCGCGGGCCTCCGGCGGGGGGGCGCGAACACTGCCCGGCCGGGCCCCGACGCAGCGCAGCCGCCCGCCCCGCCTTACAGCCACGCCAGCGGACACAGAGGGCCATATACTGCTCCGCAAAAACGTGCTACTTTTTGTCTTGATTAGCTCTCGGAGCTTTTGATTCGATAGTGAGACGTATCCCCCTCATTTGGACGAATCCATTCACTCCCACCACCGAGAATGTTGTTGTGTTTCGGCTGGAACCGCGCACTTCCGCCATAGAGATGAGCGGGAAGGAGAGGCCAGTGCGCTCTGTGCTGCCTCCCTAGGCGGAGAGGAGTCATCGGTGACGAGCCAACCTCTGGAACGCAGGTCTGGTCCCCCAACTCCGGGCGCAGGGGTCTGGACTGGGCACCGATCCCCCAAGATGAAGGGCATGCCATCTGGAGAGGTGGCCTGGAGATGAGCCCAGGCCGGTGCGCTGCGTGATGCTGAACGGATGGCAAAACTTTAGCTTGTCCAGCGTGCATAATAGACAGAATCCCTGGCCCCACGATGCTGGAGAAAGGGTCATAACCTTACTAAGAGTTATCTTCATACAGGAGCACTACTTGATGCTCTACCATGACCGATCTGGTGACAGTTCTTGTAAGGCTCATAATTCTGCCATTGCCCCCTATGTGAGCCTCTTGACGTCACTCATCCTTTCTGATTTTCTCCTCTATAAATGGGGCGCTGTTGTGAGGCTCACAAGAGATAATTCATATGAAAGATCTTTGTGGAATGTAAAGTGTTATACGAATGAGTGCATTTTTAGTGCTCTGTAGCTTCTGGGAGCGTGTTTGGTTGTCCATGTAGATCGTAAGCCCAGGGCGGGCAGAGGTTTGTCCATTGTTTTGTTAATGCCCAGAGAGCCTGGCATGCCCCAACCGAGACTCCGCCTGAGTGGTTTACTTGAGGATTAAGATGCTAACATACTTTCTTTCCCAAAATAATAATAGATCATATTTATTGAGTGGAATGTAAAGAGCACGATTCTAAGTGCTTTATGTATGTCAATTAAGCTTGATAACGATCAATACTAGAGGCAGATAGAGGTTAAGTAACTTGCCCAATGTCACCTGGTAAGTTGCCGAGGCTGGGGTTCAAATGCAGGATTCCATACCACTACAGAAGTTCTCTTTCTGGTTTCTCCACCCTGACCCTCCCCATGCACTACCATTCTCCAGTACACCCCACTCAAAGCCTGCTCTCTAGTGGGAAGATGCCTTGATCAGTAGCGTTTGCTAGTTTTCTACGATGGCTGATTTGAAGTTACAGGACATCCCTGAATGCAGAGTCCAGAATGAACAAAGGATTACATTTTGATCATCAGAGGTACAATGGGCTCTCCAGCACCAGTAGCTGCTGGCTCCAGCACACCCTGTAGGTTCCCCCTCTCCCACCAGTTTTTCTTTCTTTCTTTTTTTAAAGATTTTATTTGTTTATTTGTTTGTTTGTTTGTTTGTTTGTTTTAGAGAAAGGGGTGGAGAGAGAGTGTGTGAATGGGAGTAGGGGCAGGGGAGAGGAAGAGAGAATCTCAAGCCGACTCAGCACTGAGCACGGGGCTCAATCTCAGGACGCTGAGATCACCACCTGAGCCGAAATCAAGACTCCGGGCACTTTAACCAACTGAGCCACCCAGGCGCCCTCCCACCAGTTTTTCTAAACCCCCACACAACTCCTTTTCTGGCTGACCTTTACCCCCTCCTCATCAGTTCCCTATCCCCTCACCCTCCTCCCCATGGTTGGGCCCTGGTGCACTTGGTCTCTGGTTTGTCTCTATCCCAGGTGCAGCTACCTCTCCCCTGGCAGCCTCAGAGTACCCCCAGGGCCTCAGGAAGGAGAAAGCTGACTGCCTTACAGACCAGCAACCTCTTCTGGAGCCTGGACTTAACCAGGAGGAATCAGCATAAAATATTGAGTGTGTGAGGAGCCAAAAGGGGAGACCCAAAGGAGATTAGAAGCAGCCCTGGGTGGGGGCGGGGGGGGCGATCAGAGCCTAACTCCCAGGGACTGCCAGTCAGTGAAGAGAGTGGCTGATCTCTTCCCTACCCCTGACACCCTCCATCTCAGGGAGGCCACAATCCTGACATCATCATCATCATCACTACTACTACTCATCACTGAGCCTTAGTAGGCACAATACCAGCACTTCGAATGCACTGTTGTGTTGATTTCTCCAACTACCTTTGAAGGTAAATACAATTTCCCCCCAATTTACAAGGTAATGAAACCGAGGCTCAGTGATTTGTTGTAACTTATTTGATGCCTAATTTTATGTGTCAACTTACCTGTGCCTCAGAGTGCCCAGACAATTTATCAAACATTATTCTGGGTGTGTCTGGGAGAGTGTTTTCTGAATGAGATTAACATTTGAATCTGGTAGACTTGAGCAGAGCCAACTACTACCTACCCCAATGGGGGTGGGCCCCATCCAATCAGTTGAAGGTCTGAATAGCCTAAAAGGGCTGACCCTGCCGTGAATAAGGAGAACTCCTGACTGCTTTCAAGTTGGTACGCTGGGTTTTTTTCCTGCTTTCAGACCTGAACTGAAATATCTGCTCTTCCTGGGTCTCCCACCCGCCAGCATTTGGAACTATACCGCAGCTTTTCTGGGCCTCCCACATGCTGACTACAGATCTTGGGACTTATCAGCCTCCATAACCACATGAGCCATTTCCTCATAACAAATTTCTTTCTATAGATACACATCCTATTAGTTCCCTTTCCCTGTAGAACCCTGACTAATACACTTGCCAAGGCCACACACTCTGTCCTCATTTCATCCACTCTTGCCCCTCCTCCAAAACTCACCCTGCCCCTGGAGCCTTTCCTGCCTGAGGCTGAAGCGAAGCCCCCTCACCTTGCTTGTCTCCAGCCAGAGGCTGGCCAATCCTTGCCTCCTCTTACCTCCCCAGATCCTCACAGGGCAGTTCTCACTGCACCTCAGACCTTGGGTGCTACAGCCATGTGGGTGGTCCTGTCAGGGAGAGAGGGTCCAAAAAGTGAGACTGTGTGAAATGAATTATCCCACCCTATGATCAACATGTAATCTTTTTTGTTGTTGTTTTTAGAGATTTTATTTTTAAGTAAGCTCTACACCCAACAGGGGGCTTGAACTCACGACCCTGAGTTCAAGAGTCTCACACTCTACAGACTGAGCCAGGCACCCTTCAAGATGTAATCATTTATTCGTTCACTTACTCATTCATTCATGCCAGACATGTAACTGTCCACGTGCCACACCCATGTCATACCACGGTGGGCAGTGTGGCCCTCTGAAAGCTCAAAGTCTTGCAGAGGAAATGTTCCTCCTGGGCAGGAGAACACAAGACCTGGTATGAAAGAAATGGCAGCAGGCTTTACAGGGACCAGAGGGGGCTTGGGACGGAGGCTCCTGCTGTCAATCTTGCGGGACTGTGGGAGAGAAGGTGCTACATTGAGAATAAAGAAGAGGCCCAAGCCCTGCTTCCGGCAAGGTGGGCAGTGACTGGTCACCAGGAGAAAACCGGGGTAGCTGCAGAGAGCACAGCATAGCAACGTGAGGGGATGGGCAGGAAGGGGAGAGTGGTTCCAGAAAGAAGTGGAGCTACAGGGAATTATTCAGGAAGGGGGGTTCCCGGAGAAGGGGAAAGAAAAAGGCTTGGGGGAGAGGTCTCCTTGAGAGCCGAGGGTGGAAACTGAGGCTTGCGGGGCAGGAGAGGCAAAGACAGAGTGGACTTCGCAGTCAGAGCCCAGTGCCACAGCCAGCCAGGCGGCCGGGTGGCTGGCTGAGGCCCTCTGAGCCAGGCCGGCAGCTGAGGCCCATGGAGGGACCTTGAAGGCCAACCCAAGACCTTGGGAGTAGGCAGCTGGCTTTGCATGGTGACTGTGGCCTTGGATGGCCCCACCCCATCCTAGTGTGTGCCCAGGGGAGAGCTAAGCCCTGAAGCTGGGCCTGCAGGCCTCCCCCAGTCGCTCCGGAGCTGACCCCAGTGGCGTCACGGGGAGTGACTCAAGCCCCAGCAACAACAATGAGTGGGACTGACGTCAGGCCGGGGGCTCCTGACGGTGCCTCGCCTGGCCCGGTGGCCAGCACCCTGTCTGCTGACCCTCTCACCCCGGCCAGGCTGCGGGGCCACGGAGAATCAGCTGTCCCCTTCTGGCATCTGGCCCCCTGGGATCCCGGTCATGGGCTCCTCCATCGCCCACTCCAACATCCCCTCCTCCGAGGCAGAGGAAATGGCCGGGCTTCCGACCGGGTAGCAAAGGGCGTGAGAAAGAGGCACCTCCCAGCCCCGACCTCGTCAGGCAGCCTCTAGACCTGGCTTGGGCTGGGAGGTAGCACATCTGCTGCTTGTCCTCCTGGGGGATGTGGGAATCTGCGCTTCGGTGTTGGGGAAGGGTGGTGGGTACCATTCTCTGGGAAGGTCTATATGTTTGTCTCTCTGGCCAAGTTGGGGTGGGGATGGGGCTTAATTTCTGTGTCTACCCTCAGGGGTAAGGGCTCTGTCATCTCTCCTTCCTGCAAGGTCTA